CGCGGCTGGAAGGGGCCTGCGAAGAGGGACATGTGGCAGGAGGCGGAGGGGAAGAGGAGGCTGGACAAGCCGCGGCGCATGGCCAGGACGACAGCCCGGTGCTGGACCTGCAGCGGCAGCCGGCTGAAGGTGAAGGTCACGTCGAACTTCAGGTTCTTCACAAACTTACTCAGCATCCTGGGAAGGAGTGGTGTGAGCAGGGCAGGCGGACACTTCCCCCACGCCCTCCCGGTCCTTCCCAGCCGGCTCCCGGCCTCCAGCACCTCCGAGTGGGGCTGCTGAGGCCAGACATCACTCACTTGGGGGAGAAGCCCAGCTTGACCTTATCCAGCTCCACGTTGTGCACGTAGCCCTTGTACTGGAGGAGCGGGGAGTGGTCCCGCTCGCTGCTCAGGTTGGCAAAGAGGTGGTCACCCCTCAGCACGGACGGGCGGTTCTCGGCCACGCCGGGCACCTGTGCCAAAGGGCTGCTGTGATGCCAGACCCACGGGAGCCCCAGCACCCCTCCCATCCCCCCTGGATTCCCCTACGCACGTCGAGGACCAGCAGCCCCCTGTCCTGCACCATGGTCACGTCCTGCATGTCATAGCGCCGGATGTCCACCTCCATCTGGATCTCCTCCAGGTACAGCAGCAGCTGGAACTTCTGCTGGTAGTTGTCAGCATCCAGAGGTGCTTCCAGCAGCGAGCTGTGGGCAGCAGGGATGTCACTGTGTCCCAGAGGCACCTTGGCTCTGGGGGGGCAGCTTGGCATTGCCCCCAGCCCTCGGTACTCACCTCATGGTAGCCCAGTTGGAGCTGGCACTGGTGCTGGGTCCGAGCAGGATCGTGTCCTTGAGGTTCTTTGGGTACTGGTAGGGGCCCAGAGGGATTTCTCTCTCCAGTTCGTTTCTCAGGGAGCTGGGTGGAGGGGACAGCAGTGCTGCAGGGACTGCAGGGCCAGGCTCCCCCTGGGCCATGACTACTCCAACAGGCAGAGTGTCTCCAGCCTGCTGTCACCAGCCATTGCACAGGGATGAAGCACTTTCCTGGGTGCCAGACAGCTGGGTCCCAAGGAACTGAGCCTTGTTCTGGCTGGAGAACAGGCTGGGCCCCTCTGCTTGAGATGGCAGCAGGTGACTCTGCCACATACCTGTCGGGGGGGATGCCTTCCTCGGTGATGACGGTGACAGGGCGCTGGAGGCTGGCCTGGTAAGGCTGGTAAGGTGCCGAGGGCCCCAGGTCCTTGGCCAGCTGGCTCTGGGCGACGGCAGCGACGTAGCGTGAGATGCTGAAGGGCTCGTTGGGCTCCTTGGTGAACTCGAACACCAGCACGGCGGGGAAGTGCCCGTTGCAGGAGGTGAGGCACCGCACCTGGATGGGGTACCTGCCACCTGCGGGGCCGACAGGGGAGCGTTGGGTCCTGCAGCCCCTCCAGCAGGGCAGGGGATGGGGCAGGAAGGGACCCTACCCGGGTGGAGCACCAGGGACTGCCCCTGTGTCACCCCTTGCTCGTCGCTGAAGGAGAGCGCCGGGGACTGGTAGCGTGGCTGGACCCGCCGCAGCGTCACCTCCTGCGTCCCGCGGTTCTGCACCTCCACAGGGACCGTGCGGGGCCTGCCCCGCTCCACCGGGAAGCGGATCTCCCCGTTGCCCTGGTCGTACTCCGAGACGATCTCCACGCCGTGCTTCCCGCTGATGAGCTCGGCGCTGCGGGGAGGGAGGGTCAGGCTTTGCCGGCTGGGGAGGGGGTCTGGGGGCTCTCCAGGGCAGGGTCATACCGCTGCTGGGCATAGCTCCGGGGGGGTTGTGGAGTGGAGCTGGGCTGCTGCTGCTGCCCCGAGGCAGAGGTGGGCTGTGGTGTCTGTGCATCCGCTCTGGGTCTCCGGTACTGGTCTGCCACCACCACGCGCCTCTTCACCTGCAAGGAGCAGCCCCCGTCAGCCCCGGGGTCCTGCCGGGGGTCCCGTGGAGCCAGTCCCCGTGGGCACTGCCCCAGCCAGGGGCCTCTCTCACCGTCTGGAGTTGCACCACCTGCCCCCGCACCAGCGCCCGATGGGTCACCCTCAGGGCATTCAAAGTGCAGGAGAAGTTGGGAGTCCTTGTGTCAGTCCTGCAGAGACAAGGGAGAGGTTTGTGAGGGACAGAGCGTGGTGGGGCACAGGCAGGGGCACGGGCAGCTGAAGGGAGGCAAGAGGGAAGGTGAAGCAGAGCAGTGAGGCTGCAGTGAGGGAGCTCTCAGTGGACTCCTCTGTGCCAGGAGAGGGAGAAGGACTTGGGCTTCCCACTGGCCCGTGCAAATCTTAGACCCCTGCAGGCTGCCCCAGAAACTCCATGCTGTGCCATGGCCATGCCAGCTGTGCCATGGCATCACTGCCTGGCCCTGCCAGCCACGCAGGCCCTCTCCCTGCCCCTGCCAGTGCTCAAGCAGCAGCAGGGCAGGGACTTCTCCCTGTCCCCAGATCCTTGACAGAAGATGCCACCCAGAGGGGTCAGCCCCCTGCACAGCCCCTGGCATAGATGGGGGCTCCTCTCAGGCACAGCCACTGCACTCCCAGCAGTGATAACTCCCCAGGTACCTCCTCCTGCAGCCCGGGCCCACCCTGCAGCCCACCAGTGCCCTGAGCCCCGGCTTTGCCAATGATTAACAGCGGTGATGTTGCACAAGGGCCAGTGTGAGTGGGGTCAGCAGGGTCAGGTGGCCACAGTGGAGGGCAGTGGGTATCCAAGACCTTGCCCAGGCAGCTGCTGGGGGTCCCACAGAGCTGGGATCATCCCAGCAGGGCTGTGGCAACACGGAGGGGCTTGGGGGCCCAGTGGTGCTGCTGAGGACCAGTAACACTGGCCAGGCACTGGGCAACGCTGGTGGGGGGGAATGGGAGGTGCTGGCCAGGGGGACCGTCCCAGCTGCCCGGGTCTGGCTCTCACCTGCCCCGGAACTCGAGGTTGTAGATACTCCGCAGAGTTTCCCGCTGACACTCCTGCTCCCGGCCCGTCTCCTGCAGGAACTGCACGAACTGATCCCCCCACTGCCTGGCCTCAGCCACTCTGAACCGCGGCATGGTCG